CATGGCTTTATCTTTCTCAATCACAGCTTCCTTCGCTTGAACCGCTTCTCCATTGTTCTCATGTGGTATTAAAGCTCGAGAAGATTCAGCAATCTCCACATCTTTCATTGGTTGATCATCATTAGGAAGAAGAGATTGATCAGTGTTTTGGTTCTTGATTTGATCTCTCTCGTACATTTTAACTTGAGGAGCTACGTCGTTTTCAGGAGTAACCGGAGTAACTTTCCCCGGTATGAACACGAAACCTCTCAGTTTCTTGTCACTGTCTTTAACCTTGACGTTAAGCATGTATCCTGCATCAAAACGTCCTTCGACCACACCAGAAACCCTCTGACCAACCAAATCATCACCCGGTTGTTGATTCACTTGAGAAGCTTCGTCTTTGCGCGGACGACCTCTCTTTCGTTTCGCCAAGAGATCATTCGGATTAGAAGCAGCAGCAACTGGAGGAGGAGCTGGTGAGTTTGTTGCTAGCGGATTCATTCTACAAGAGATTCAAAACCAAAACGAGAAAATGTAACTTTGTTTTCGTTTTATACTATCATATTTTAATTGCATTGTAACATTTACTTGATAGACATTTTGAAATAAATTCGTCAAATTCTAATCCATACCTACAAAAGTAACGCGATTTCTCACGTTATCAAATTAGTTCGCCTGCACTAATCTTAATACCATAAGCAACGTTTAAACACAAAACTAATAGTACCAAGAGATGATAAACTAAAGTAATAAACAAATCAAATTTAGAGACAAATATGGATTATTACATTGCAAATCTCATAAAATTGTTAATTTGTTTCAGAATTGGAAATGATCATATACGTAGAAAACAAAGTTTAACACCAAACCTAAGGATCAAGTGATTCATGAACACTCAATTCACGATATTAAAGGAAAAAATCAATCTCATTATCACATTTTTTCCCACAAAACAAAACGAAGAGGAAAAAAAAAACACCATTCTATCCCGGAAACACAAGTATTATATTTAACCTAGATTTATCAAAATCTAAATGAAAAATTCGGATCCCTAAACCGAGAAGAAAATTAGATCAGACCTCTCTAATGATTTAAACAAAATAAAGCATTGTGATCATTGATAAAACAAAATAACCTCTCCAAATGTACAAACAACGATTCGAGAAAATAATTTTAAAAATAAATCTGGATCCAATAATAAAAATCGTGATTATTAATAAAATTTCTAAGAGGGAAAAACACATGAGTTTGAAGTTAGAGAAAAAAAAATGATTGATTAATTATTGTTTTACCTCTCGACCACGTGATTCAAAACCAGAAGAAATGGTGCTTTGAAAAAATAAGAAGATTCTCTGTTTTCCTCTAACACAAATCAGAAAAGTGTAAACATT